GGAAGAAGGACGGGAAAGGAGAAGAAAAGAATATGGACATGAGAAAGGACAAGAGATGAGGAGAGAAGAAGGAAAAAAGATACGAAAGACCAGACAGAAATAAGAGGAGAAGAAGAGGTAAAAAAAAAAAAAAAAAAAGATTCTCCAAAAAAAACGCAAACAAACACACAAAAAACAAACCCAGACGAACACACAAACCAAACCCGAAGCTCAGAGGACAGAAAAACACCCGAATAAACTTTCCAGACGAACGCAAGCACACCGAAGCAACAAGGGAACGCAAGAAAGAGGACGTCACGATGTCAATTAATGAAGTTGTCGAGAGCGCGCTCGAGAGGGAGAAAAGGGCGCTAGGCCAGTTAGGTGGAGAGGATAAAGTGGAGAGGGAAAGGGAGCGAGAGGAAAGGGAGGAGCAAAAGATGGAGGGATAACGGAGGGGGATGGGTGATGAGCTGTGAAGGGAAAAGGCCGGTAATGGAGAACGGCTTTACTCTTTCTTCTTCACATTTTACTCCATTCTTCGGTCTGTATCTCTCTCTCTCACATAGATAAATAAATGTATATGTATATTAATATATGTATGTATATGCATCTGTATATGTATATACATACATATGTGTGTGTGTGTTGTGTGTGTGTGTGTGTGTGTGTGTGTGTGTGTGTGTGTGTGTGTGTGTGTGTGTGTGTGTGTGTGTGTGTGTGTGTGTGTGTGTTTTTACTTCTATTTATTTCTCTTCTTTTTCGCGTCTTTTACATTTCATATCTCACTTGCCTTTCTCTTCCTCTTTCTCTCTCAATCTCTCCTCCCCCTCTCGCCCACCCATCCTGCCCACCTTCTCTTGCCTTTTCTTTCTTTCGCAGTTTCCATTATTTTTTCTCTCCAATCTAATCCCATTAAACCGTTCCCTCCTCTATTTCCTTCCTTGTCTTCCTCTCTTCCTTCCGTTCTCTATCTTCTCTCCCTTTCCTCTCCTTCCCTCTTTTATCCCGACTCTTTTCCCTCTTCTTCCCTCTCTCTCCTTTCCCTCCACTTTCCTTAACTTTGATTTCCTCACGTTTTTCCCTTCCTTCTATCCTCTCATCTCTTCTCCCTTCTCTCCCCTTTCCTCCCTCTTCCCCTCATCACCCTTTCCTCACAATTCCCCTTCTTTCATCCCTTCCTCCCATTCCCCCTTCCTCCCACATCCCCCCATCCCTCCTGTAACCCCCATCCCCCCTATCCTTCCTCTTCCCCCATCCCCCCTTTCCTCCCTCTTCCCCATCCCCCCTATCCTCCCTCTTCCCCCATCCCCCTATCCTCCCTCTTCCCCCATCCCCCCTATCCTCCCTCTTCCCCCATCCCCCTTTCCTCCTCTTCCTCCCATCCCCCTTTCCTCCATTCCTCCCCCATCTCCCCCCCCTTTCCTCCACCACTTCTACGACGGCGAAAAAACGTCCCCACGGCAGGAAATGACTCGGAAATGGGGCGGGCGGTCACCGTAGACTCGTGCCGGTCAGGGTGCTGTGTGCGCCTGAAGCCTCGCGTCAGACAGTGTCAAGTAGAGGAGCGGAGGACGAGAGGGAGCGAGGGGGGACCAGGAGGAGGAGGAGGAGGAGGAGAGGAGGAGGAGGAGGAGGAGGAGGAGAGAGAGAGAGAGAGAGAGAGAGAGAGAGAGAGAGAGAGAGAGAGAGAGAGAGAGAGAGAGAGAGAGAGAGGAGAGGAGGAGGGAGGAGGAGGAGGAGGAGGAGGAGGAGGAGGAGGAGGAGGAGGAGGAGGAGAGGAGAAGAAGAAGAGAAGAAGAAGAAGAAGAGAAAGAGAGAGAGAGAAAGGACAGGAGGAATATGAGTGGGAGGAGGAAGGAGGGGATGTGGCGATGTGAGGGAAATAATGAGGTTCAGAGAAGAGTGAGAAGGGGCAGAGGAGGAGAGGAGGATGGGATAAGGAGGAAGGGGATAAGGAGGGGGAAGGGGGAGGTGGGAGTAGGAGGAGGAAGGATGATGATGATGATGAGGAGGACAGGGAGAGGAAGGGGGAGAAGGACGAGGAGGAAAACGAGGAAGAGGAGGAAGACGAAGAGGAAGAAGTGAACGCGGTGAGGAGAAAAAAAATAAAAAATAGATGGTGGTGATCATGGTAATAACTATAAAGATAACGGTGTGAGGAAGAGGAGGAAATACGGTGGAAAAATGGAATTAGAGCAAAACGAACATACAAAGGGAGGATGAAGGAAAGGGAGATAAAAGAAAAGAAAAAGAAAGAAAGAAAAGGAAACACAGCAATACAACCCCAACAAAAGAGATATAAAAACGGACAAAAGAACAATAAAAGACGAAAAAATATACTACGGAGAAGCACAGAAAGGAGGGAAGGCACTCAGAAGGGAAAAAAATATATATATAACGGTCACTGGAGGATGGAAAACAAACAACTTCCGACCGTATGACCATAAAAATAGTTTTGATACCATAAACTCAACGAAATAAAACCACTGATACCACACTCAAAGAAATAAAACTGCTCATATCATAAACTCAGATTCAAAACATCCATCATGAAACACGATCCAATATGGCCGCCATCAGCTGATCCAAGTAAACATCCAAAGAGATGCAAACTCATCCCGAAAAAATCATGTAGAGCGATAAGCAAATGCATAGAGAGAGAATTCGGAATTCAGGGACTCCGAACTGCTCTTTTCTCACCTAGTACTCCAAACTATGTCAAGTGATAAACTGAGATTCGAGGATAAACACCCAGCATTGAGTTCGAGAGCGTTCGTGGGTTCTTTCCCCAAAAGATTCCTCTAAAAATATGAAGTGCAGAAGCATTCAATGGACTGTCAACACTGTGCGCTAAAGATACACATTTCTTCTGAGAGTGAGTGCATGTACGTATGCCTCTATGTGTGTGTGTGTGTGTGTGTGTGTGTGTGTGTGTGTGTGTGTGTGTGTGTGTGTGTGTGTGTGTGTGTGTGTGTGTGTGTGTGTGTGTGTGTGTGTGTGTGTGTGTGTGTGTGTGTGTATGCGTGCGTGTGTATGCGTGCGTGTGCGTGTGTGCGTGTGTGTGCGTGTATACAATGGGTCTGTGTGTATGTGTATATATGTATGGTACGAGTCTATGTATGTGCATGCACGTGTGTATATATACAAAAACATGTGTCTGTACGTCGGCATAGTGGTTATTATAAAAATGTGGAGGGAAATATATCTTTAGCACTACACCTCTTTTCACCCGCGACCAACTGCCAGGGATGAAGTTAGTGAAGGGAACGTCAGTAATTCCACTGGCCGGCGATCGCACGTATTTCCTCAATTTCCTCGTAATGCACTTACGGCGCCACATAGGAAATTTGGCGCAGGTAAACCGAACGCAAATCTGATAATTCTCTCTCTCTCTCTCTCTCTCTCTCTCTCTCTCTCTCTCTCTCTCTCTCTCTCTCTCTCTCTCTCTCTCTCTCTCTCTCTCTCTCTCTCTCTCTCTATTTTGATAATTCTCTCTCTCTCTCTCTATTCTGATAGTTTCTCTCTCTCTCTCTCTCTCTCTCTCTCTCTCTCTCTCTCTCTCTCTCTCTCTCTCTCTCTCTCTCTCTCTCTCTCTCTCTCTCTCTCTCCAATAATCCTCTCTTCATTTCTCCTTTATTCTTGTCATCCGTTCCTCTCACTCTTTCATCAGGGTTCACTCCCACTTTACGCCCTTCCGGCTCATCCTCCGAGAAGCACTCTTACACCTCATTTCACCTTCTAACCAACCCTGCCTCTTTCTTGCCACCCCGGCTTCCTTTTCCTACGCTCCTGCTTCTGCCTCTGCCTTTGCCCTATGTTACTCTTTCTCTCATTTACTCATTCACTTTTCGTTGGGCGTTCCATCATACGTACGCACGCACTCTAGCACCAAATCTCACTCTTAGTTAGTAGCACATTCACACCCATGCTCATTCATACACTCGCATTCACCCACATTCACACCCACTCTCACTCTCACTCACCCACATTCACACTCACTCATTCTCCCTTTCATCCACACAACCCCCTGTCTCTTTCCCTCCCTCTCCCTCTATTTTTCCTCTCTCCCTCTCTCTTAGAGTTTCATTTCCCTCCTCTCATTTAAGACATCCTTTTCCAAGCGAAATGTCGCTGTTACTCTAACTTCAACCTTAGCACGAGACTAAAAAAATAGAGAAGTACATGGCTGGCAGGGAAGGGAACAGAGAGAAGAAAAACTCGCACATCAACAAAGAGAGATAAAAATGAGAGACAATAAATTCACATCTTAAATTAAATAAAACCAGTCTGGGAATGGAACGCGTTGATGAGCCAGACAAACCCACAAACTCACGCCCGCACAACCGACTTCTCACTCGCAATATCCAACAAAGTCATTCCCACGCCTCCAGTATGGCATCCCACCCACAACCGTGCAAATTGTCCTTGTGCACTCTACTATAGTGTTCTAATTCCCTTTCCAAATGCCAATGCCTTTGTGCCGCGATGACAACTTCACAACTCTATGGCAATATCCGTGAGCATCGTATTCCTGCCGCTGGTTCGGTTGTTCCGTGCTAATTCAATTATCTATTTCTGCCCCATGTTACAATTTCTGTATCTCTGTTCAAAAATACTATCTGATATTGTTGCTGTGTCTACGTTTCGATAAAACCGTCAGATTGATTTGTTTTTTAATCAGGTTTGTCAATCCATTTTGACGGATATGTATGACTGTTAAAATTACAGACACAAAAAAACACGATAATTAAATGGTATATTTGATGAATACATGTACGCAGGTTCTGAGGTTGCAACTCCGCCCCGATGAAATATGAAACGGTTATGTTTCAATCCATTTTAGTTTCCATCCCCATGTGGCCTGTGGCACGTCTTGAATCCAGAAATCATTGCCCAGTTTAAGGACCTACCTTTTCTACGACGTTCTCTCCCTGTTACAGGTACATATACCGATATATCATACTGGAAGAATCAACAAATCCGAAAATCTTAAAACAAATGTTTCATGGAACACTTAC